AACAAGTGTGGTGAGAATTAAAATCACCACAGAAGATATGATTGTTTGCCCTTGGGAGACGCTCAAATATATCAGACCACTGTTCAGCTGTAACATCTCCTCCAGGAGGTGCATAAAGACATGTAATTTGTGTCTTACCAAAAAGGGAACCAATCGAGACAGAAGCAACGTCTATCTGCAGGTTACTAGCTGAATAACAAAAAGCGCAAGAGATCTGAAACAAACAGAGACAACGAGGCCACAATACAGATCCAAATACGTGGACAGCACTCAGAAATTATGTGAGCTAGACGTAAAACCAACCGAATAAACCACACGTACAAGTAAAACGTAAAATAAATAGTTGACAGCTATTCTCTGTAGTACAAATAGGTTAAAACAACAGATTAAAATTCACTAGATAAAATATTCAAAACAAAAAGACTAAAAAGAGATTAAAATATATGTTACCAAGTAACTAGTTTGTTTATAAATGTAAAACACAATATAAGTTAATAAATAAATAATAGGAGATAAATGGGAGACGTATAACAAAAAATAAAACTAAGTAGAAAATTAGCCCTCATTTAGAGTCTCCACAGGGTGGCCAGAACCACCAAGCGGTTGAAGCGTATCAATATCGGTACGAGTATCCATTGGACCAGAAGAGGATTGCGAAGTCTGAGAAGTATTGCTTTGGTCCTCCACAGGCCCCACCGTGGGCTGCCAGACCACCTCATAACCCGGCTTAGCAATTCCCTCACTCAACAAGAGCGCCTCCGCCTTGTCATAACCTACATTGAGCTCAAGCCTGCGCTTCATTATTAAATATTCATATTTATAATAAGGACACTCTCTTGATGAGGACATGTGATTATCACCACAGTTGGCACAGTGTGCCGTGCGATTCGGGTTAGGACAATCATCCCTAGCGTGGTTCTCTGCACAGTATTCGCATCTAGAGAAAGTCGAGCGACACTGAGTACGAAAATGCCTAAATCTCTGACACTTATAGCATCGCTTCGGAGGTGTGACTATCAGAGTTAAATTGAAGAGGTCTCGAGAAATAAAAATTGAATCCGGGATCGATATTCCTGAAAAGATAAATTCGATCTGCCCCGACAGATCTCCATCCTGGGTTGTGCGTCTACGAATGGAAATTACCTCCCGAATTACTTCACTCTCCATTTTATTACAAATCTCCAGAGGGGACAATTCTAGATCAACATCATGTGCCAGCGCTTTTCTACTAACCAAGGACCTGGGGATATACAATTTGTATTCGCGATCGCTGTCCTTCATGGACTCGAGCAGTTGGTTGGCAAGTATCCAGGTGGAGGAGGTCACACGCAGTTGATTAACTCCGTTAGCCACGACCACACGATCTGGGTCGCTGACTCGTGCTTCGAAATAGTCAGCGATAGCGATCCTATTATATTTACCGATCTTCTGGTTTGGTGTGGTCGATTCTACTAGGACTGTAAAAGGAGGAGGGGCATCGGGCTGAAATCTAGCATCCTCCGTGTATGCTGGGTTAATCCACTCAAGATCATAGGGGTGCAGTTTTTCCTGTTCAGGAGAAACCTGTAAGTCAGCCTCCAGTGTAGCCCGGGTTTCATCCCGCGCCTCTGTTCCAGAGACAGGTTCACAAGGGGGGTAAATCTGTAGAGGTGGATCAGTGACAGATGTTAACATGGACTGAGGGACATCATGTGGGGAGGAAGGTTCAGATTCCATGGGGACATGATGTGGTTGTTTAAGCGATGTTAAGTTTGACCCGTTTTCAGGAGGCGAAGGATTCACCCAGTCACGACGATAACCAGCGGGCAAAGAAGACACAGGAACTGAGGGCACCGTAGACCCCGAAGCCAGACCATGCCCAGGACCAGATGTCAACCCTGGCCTGACGATAGAGGGATCCATACAAACAGAAAGTTTACCACGACCAAGAAATCGACTTCTAGTATTCATTGTAACACGCTGGAGACCGGGGGCCGCCGGAGCGGTCAGCTTCCTAGGTGTTGTTGGAGCCATATCTTGACTTAAAAGAATTTATTAAGCCCGAACCCAGAAGAACAAGGCGACACCAAATGAGGGCCCAAATTCTCACTCAATATTAAAAAGTAACACAGAAATAAAAATCATCCACTGAGTGAGAACTTATAAGGTAAAAACAGAATAAACAAAAATCAAGCCAATAATATGACACAAAAATAAATTAAATTAGAGTATAAATAAATATGTCAAAAGACCGAAAATAAATAAAATAAACAGTTATAAACAAAAAAAAGCAAAAAAAAAAAAATAAAATCAGTATCAATAAAGCAAATAAATATATACCAATAAGCAGGTTATGTAATTAAAATTAAAACGACTGAATACACATTGAAATATAAGGTCTTGTATGTGTAGTTGTAAACAAATTATATAAAAAAAGGCTTTAATCCCTTTGGGCGGAATGTGAAAGTGGTAATGTAAAATATAAAAAATTAAAAAAATAATGGGCTGCAATTTGAAATGTATGTGTAGTGTGACATAAACAAGGTATCAAGAATTCAAATAATAACAAAGAGAAAAAAAAAAAAAAAGAGAAAGTAATAAAAGTTAAAACTATGAGTGAGCCTGGAGTAATAATAATTAAAGTTAATCAAAAGTTAGCGAAGAAGTCAAGTAAATTCGAAATAAATAAAATAAAATGAAAATCACTATAACTAAAAACTTGAAACCTTCACCAACTATAAATTTAAAAATATTTCGAAATTTTATAATACGTAAAATTAAAATCACTTAAACGGGAAAATAAGTCTGACACAGGCTGACACTCATAATATTGACAGACTATTTACCCAAAGGGACGTGTAGGATTTGTAAAGGATGACTGACCTTGAGTAACGAAGGACGACAATACCCAATTATAAAACCTCATTAGCCTTATCAACTTCAAATATTAATTAAAATCGGTGCACAAAATGAAAAACTCCAGCCACTTGCAGTTTCCAATTTAAATTCTGGCGCCTCCAGCAGAATGCAGCAACACGTGCAAAACACCGGCCGGATAAAACAAACAGCTGATTGTCGAAAATGCCGCCAACAGCTCGCTCCGAAATTATAAATATTTATTGTTCGTTTATTTAGAGTACTCAATAAAATAAATGGACGAACATCTGAACATATTCAGCACATTCAACAATAAATAAATAAACTGACACAGAGATTAAGAGCAAATTTAATTTGTAACACAAAAAAATTTTTGACCAAACAAAAAGTGAGGAAACCTCACATTTAAAAACAAACAGGACTATACTAGAAGACGGTCATAACCACGGTCCAGAAATAATGTTCATCTGATCGAAATTTGAGGTATAAAAGTACGGAAGCCTGTACGGCTCACGAGCCTCTCGTACGCAAGTGGCGGTGTTTCGTACCACAAGTGGCACGAAGTCCGTCCAACTTGTGGCAAGTTCGTTAGTTCGTGCCACTTGTTGGACAGACTCCGTGCCACTTGTGGAAAGTGGATTTCTTGAAGGGTCATTCACAAATATGACAATTCCGTTGTATTCTGTTGCCGTCTATTTCGTCAGTGCTTTTCATTTCAAGTATAATTTCATCCGGGCAAGTCCGTTTAGTGTTTTTGAATAAAAATGAATTTGTTATTTTTTAATTGAAAATATATGTAAAAGATTACATTTCAGTGTAAACAAATGATATTGACATCTTTATTAATCTTAAATATTCATAAAAATATACTTTTAATTTTAAAAAATAAAATCCTCTTCATGTATTTTAAATTAAAAAATGGCAACATAACCAAAAAATCTTATTTTTATTCTAAACTAAGAAAAAACTTCCGCTTAATTCTTTGTGGAATCCGTAGTTTATTAATATGTATATTTACGTTTGGAAGGAGTATTTATGTGTGAACTATAAAAAGTTTGTTCGATGACATTTACTAATATGCTAATATTACTAATATCTTATAAAATTCATTTTTTCTTCTTCACATGAAATTGAAATGAAAAGCACTGACGAAATAGATAGCAACAGGATCCAACGGAATTGTCATATTTGTGAATGACCCTTCAAAAATCCACTTTCCACAAGTGGCACGAAGTCTGTCCAACAAGTAGCACGAACTAACGAACTTGCCACAAGTTGGACGGACTTCGTACCACTTGTTACGGAAGCGCCTACGAGTCACCAGCGAACTATCTTGTTCGCGTCACATTTTTAGCTGTGAAACCGAGGAACGCGTTCGATGGTTTCGCTGTTTCCTTGTTTTTGAGTGACGATAAAACACACTATACGGTTCGATAGTTCTCTGGTTTTACTTAGTTCTATCGTTATCGAAGTCTAAATTTTGTATTAAAAAAATAAATTTAAATTTAAAAACCGAAATATAATAATATATTTAAATTATATATTTGAGATATATCAGATATCTTATAATGTGTGCCTAAAAAATTATTTTATTTAAAAATAATAGTACAAAATATTATTTTGAAGTAAGTTGATTTGTTTGCATTTTATATTTGTACTATACTATTAATATTTTGTACTATTATTTTTAAATAAAATAATTTTTTAGGCACACATTATAAGATATCTGATATATCTCAAATATATAATTTAAATATATTATTATATTTCGGTTTTTAAATTTAAATTTATTTTTTTAATACAAAATTTAGACTTCGATAACGATAGAACTAAGTAAAACCAGAGAACTATCGAACCGTATAGTGTGTTTTATCGTCACTCAAAAACAAGGAAACAGCGAAACCATCGAACGCGTTCCTCGGTTTCACAGCTAAAAATGTGACGCGAACAAGATAGTTCGCTGGTGACTCGTAGGCGCTTCCGTAACTTGTGGTACGAAACACCGCCACTTGCGTCCGAGACGCTCGTGAGCCGTACAGGCTTCCGTAATAAAAGCACCTTAAAAGCACCTTTAGCCTACATGTGTACGTGCCTTTGGGTGGCCCATAGGCGCTTCCGTACAGCACGCAGCTTACAATGAGAGTCCACATTCTAGATACAAAGTTCAATTGCCCATAGCCCGATTGTATAGTGTGTTGTAAAATGTCAGCTACAGAAGACCCTTATGAAAATGTGTCAAGAGGATCTCTAAAATTAAAAGGAACCGAAAATATTAGTAAAAAGTAATTATTTATATTTTTAACATTTTTATTTTCTTTTTTTAAACATTCTTTCTTTACATTTTAACCCTTCGAGGACCAGTGTTGCTTATGGCAACAAACTTTTTCCAGTGTTTACTCATACAAATAATATTCTTGGGTTAAAAATTTAATATTAAAACAAAATTTATTTTTAAATAACAGAAATTTTCTAACTAAAGTTTGGTTTGCAGTAAAAAAATTGAAATAGTTTTCTCAAAAAAATCTTAAAATATTCCCAAAATTTGTTTTCTAAAATTCATGCAATGATTAATCATGGGGACTATAATTTATATAAAAAATAATCTCGTATTTCTTTAAATTTTTTGCTGATTGCTGGAAATTCTTATAACTTTCTTCATAAGAACTATATTCAATCAAGTTAACAAAGTTTAACCTTTTCATGAAGTCGGCCACATTCGATTAATAAAAATTAAACAGCATCCGACAATTTTTTTTTCTGAAAATATACTTTTTCCATAGCAAAAACCCTCTTTGAGTTTTGTAAAAGTTTGCCTGAATTTTGTTTATTATTTCTGAATTTTTTGTTTTTTTGACTTGTAAATTGAGTTTTTTTTTTTGAAAAAATTCTATTTAAATCATGATTCTCGGTCGAAATATCATCAATGTACAAATAAACCCATTTTGTGAGCAATCTATATCCCATAACATAATTTTTGTAATCAAATTTTTAAAAAAAATTGTAGTTTTTAAAATTATTTACTCCAATTTTCAAAATATTTTAAATTTCTTGCTACGTCTAAAAAAAAGTATTTTAAAATGAACTAGAAAAAGTAATTATTAATATACAGAGAAATAAAAGTTTGATTATTTGCAAAAAAAAATATATATTTTGTTGTAGAATTGAATTTTATTTTTTTAACTTTTTTTGAACTAACTTTCACGGTTTGCATACGCTAAGGAAGAATGAGGAAATACTGAATTGCGTTTTTTTTATATGTGTACGTCTGCATGAAAAGGGACCACGTTAGTTTCTTTCATAAGGGCGATATTTGCATTAATGTTCACGCAAAAATAATCCTTATTGTATTCGCAAAGTGGTCCCTTTTCATGCGGACGTACACATATATATATATATATAATTGAAAAATTAATGTATTATCTTTGTCATGGTACCATTTCTTTCAGAATTTTATTAGTTTTTAAAAAATAAAAAGGAAAAAATTTTAGTTTCAATATTTTTTAAGATTTAAACTGTTTTATGATATATATCTAGTATATTTTACTACATTTTTTCGAAGAAGTAGCAAGAAATTTATATTTTCAAACTTAAAGTAAAATTTTTTTAAAAAATTGCAACTCTCTAAACATTTAGAATTTATATATAACAAAATAACAATTTTAAAGAATTATTTGCAGATTTTTTATTTGACCCAAGTTTCATTTAACACAATTTTTGATAGAATTTATATTTGATAAAAAAACGAAAATGTCAGGGAAAAACACAAAATTTTTGTCCGGAAGTCAGAGAAAATTATTTTTAAATTTTTGTGGTAACCCTGAATATAGATTTCCAATATGAGACGGAATTTCAACAGTCAAAAATTAATTCTTACCATATATATAAAAAAATATTAATAATGAACATTTTTTTATTTTATCAATCATAATATTATGGATTAAATTTTTTTTTGTATGAAATTAATAATCAAAGTAGGAGGTTCGCGACCTTATTTTGTAACCTTAATTTTTTTCTTTGTTAACAAAATTCAAAGAGTATTTAATATTCGATAGTAAGACTTGCCAAAAGTATAAATTTCTTTATTCTGTACTGAAAAGTGATAAAATTAGTAGAGAGATATTCTTCTTTAAGGGGAGATTACGGTGATTTTCAGGTTTTGAAAAAAAATCACCATAATCTACCTTTAAAATAATATTCGCAATTAAAATTTTTCAGAGCTTGCAACTTTTTTTGGAACCTAAAAATTTAAGGTTTCGCAGATATTTTAATATTGATATAATTCAGTTGCTATTAAAACTTTATGTAGGTGTTTTGCTTTCTTTACAAGGTATTTAATTTACAAATATTTACCTAAAAAGTTAATATTTTATTGTTAAAGTATCACTAGAAATTAATAAATTAATATTTCTTTCCTACAATTTAAATACTAGACAATTGAAAAAGAACATTTTTTAAATAAAACAAGGTGTTCATTTCATGACCATTTAGCTTCCTCATCATGATACACTTATATTCAAGATTAAAAGAAGGATTACAACTAAAATAGCGATTGATTTTATAAATATTGGTAAAATGTAAACTTTATATACATTAATCGATTCGTTTTCATGCTAGGAATACAATTTTGACAAGAATTAATTAAAATTTCTATATAAGAAAAAGTAATTTCAAAAAATACAAAAATTGATTTTTTTAAGATTGATTGATTGATTTAATCTATAGATTTCAGTATGTTTAGGGTTCTGTCAATATTTCATGTGCAAAGACAATTTCACATAACTTTTAATTGAATTTAGATTCTTGCCACGCCATGTGGCCACAGCATCAATTTAATATTTTATGAAAACTGGATTTTTTATTACTGTCAATATAATAAATCTATTCACCATGAACACTTCAAATACAAACTTTTATTAAAACACTTATACATATTGAAACTTATCATTAGGAAAACTGTAATATTCCAATTTTTAGAGAGACCAATTTTTTGTTAACAGAATCATAGACATTTTTTATTTTCTCTGAAGAAAGAAAGGAAGCGCTTATTACGCCCTCTATATTTTAACTTAGTCATTTTTGTACCGCGTAATTTTAAATATATGAATATCAAACAGTACCGCCGGCCTTGAATTCATCGGGAATTCAAATAAACTTACAAATAAATTACAAAGTTTTTTTTTTTTTTTAAATTAAATAATAACTTATGATTAAAATACAGTTTTTCATGTCGGTTTCATCGGTGTGCAATGGTGAAATGGTAAAACAACCACTTCTGTGATAGGTCGTAAATACTCGGAATTCGAAGTTTTCACTTTTACAACTCGAATTAAATTGTCGGATGATCTTTTAACTTCAATGATTCTACCTAACAACCATTTGGTAGGTGGAACATTTGGCTTTCGCAATAACACCATTTTACCAACGACAAGAGAATCTTCGACGTCTTGCCATTTGAAACGTTGTTGTAACGTATATAGATAGTCATTCGACCATTTTTTTCCAAAAAATCTCGGTACATTGTTGCATATGTTGCCAGCGTGACAATTGATTTTGTTTTAAATGACAAAGCGATGGTTGAGGAAAAGCTGTAAATGAACTACCTATTAAAAAATGCGCCGGTGTTAATACATTAAAATCGTCGATGTGTTCGGTAATCGGAGTTAAAGGCCGCGAATTCAAAATAGCGGAAATTTGATAAATCGCAGTGGCTAATTCCTCGTATGTCGGAGTATTCGGGCCAAATATTTTGACAATTTTTGTTTTCATGCTTTTAACGGATGACTCCCATAGGCCTCCAAAGTGGGGTGCTGCCGGGGGATTAAATCTCCATTCAATGCGATCTTTTGCGATCAAATTTTTAAACTCTGAACTTTTAATTGCATTTTCAAAGGCTACGCGAAGTTCTTTATTTGCACCTTGAAAGTTAGTCCCGCAGTCACTGTACATGCATTGAGGAAGACCACGCAAAGAAACGAATCTTTGAAAGGCAGCTATAAATGCAGACGAAGTGTAATTAGTCACAATTTCTAGGTGAATCGCTTTCACCGCGAAGCAAACGAATACAGCGATATAACAACTCTGAGAACGATTTCCGCGACCGCCGATCATACGAACTTGCAAAGGACCAGCGTAATCTATGCCGCAATCTATAAACGCTCGTTCTGGTCGTACTACTCTCGGACGCGGTAAATTTGCCATCAGCTGTTTAGCCAGTTTTGCTCGATATTTAACACAAATAAAACATTTATGTAGAATTGATTTGATAAGTGGACGTGGATGAATAATCCAGTACAATTGTCTCAGATGACTCAATGTATCTCGTAATCCGCCGTGAATTGTTTTTTCATGAGCATCCCAAATTAACAATTTGACAATGAAATGATTTTCGAGGATAATCGGGTGCTTTGATTCAAACGCAAAATCGGAATTGTCAAGACGACCTCCTACACGCAAGAGACCTTGATTATCGAGAAAGGGATTCAAAGATTTTAGTTTACTCTTTTGCGCAATTTGTGAGTTAGTTTTCAAAGATTGAATCTCAGATTGAAACTGTCGTCCTTGAATATAAAGATACCAAACGATTTCTGCATTACCTAATTCTTTCGCAGAAATTGGATTCGAAAATCGAATGTTGTCATCAGTATCGGATTTGAATTTCCACTTAATGAATCTCTGCAATATTACTGTCACTCGTAACAATTTATTCCATGAAGAATATCTGGAAGCAAGAGCATTCATTAAATCAGGAATAAGTTCAACATTAAGGTGCACGTGACCTTTTGATTCTAAATCGGTTTCAAGTTGTGTCGGAACGATCGATGGTGGCCAGTGAGTTTGAGGTAACGATAACCACTCTGGGCCATTCCACCAGAGATTGGAGTTGATTAAATCTTGAGGTCGAGTTCCGCGAGACGCTATGTCAGCGGGGTTTTATTGCGAAGGGACATGACGCCACTGATGATCTGGAAGTAAAGTCTGAATTTCGGATATTCGATTCGCAACATACGTATGCCAATGAGAAGCATGTTTGTTCAGCCACGAGAGTACAATGGTGGAATCAGTCCAGCATTGAATCGATAAGTTTGAGAACGGTTCGGATTGACGAACTGAAGTGATCAAACGAGATAATAAAGTTGCTGCTTGCAATTCCAATCGTGGAATGCTGATTTGTTTTACAGGTGCAACTTTTGTTTTGCTCGTAATGATTTGAGTAATCACCTCGTGAGAAGATAATGTTACCCTTAAGTAAAGAACTGCTCCATACGCGACCTCGGATGCGTCGGCGAATCCATGAATTTGAACTTCAAGGTTATCCGGATGTAACTGTAACCAACGCGGAATAGTCAATTCATTTATATCATTTAAAGAATTCACATAATCAGTCCAGGTAGATACTGTTTCAATGTCCAGATTATCATCCCATGAACATTGATTACGCCATAAATTTTGCATGATAATTTTCCCTGTGATTATGATTGGTGATAGCCACCCTACTGGATCGTATAACTTAGCGAGAACAGAAAGAATCGTTCTTTTCGTGATCACTTCCAATTCGATAGATTTAACGGTAAATTGAAACTGATCGTATGTAGGATTCCATTCCAAACCTAAAATTTTAATACCCTCATCATCACCCTGTTGAAAAAAAACACGTATAATTGTACGTATAATAACACGTATTGTATCGCACCTAACCTCACTTTTAGTGATACTTATACAACAAAGTTATTAATCAAGACAAGACAGCGGAAACACCAAGGCGAAGGAACAAGTTCTCATCAGATCACAGAAATTAAGCAACGTTGGACGCGGTTAGTACTTGGATGGGTGACTGCTTGAATTGACATTCGACGATATTTTTTTTCGTGAAATTTAATTTGCATTTTAAAATTTCTAAAAATTTTCAGCGCAATTTTGCTACTAATTAATCTATTCTATTATTCTAGTTTTAATAGAATTATAATTATACGTATAATAATACGTATAATTATACGTATTATTATACGTATTATTATACGTATTATTATACGTATTATTATACGTATAATTATACGTATAATTCTTGTTTCAAATTCGTATGTCTTATTATACGTATAATTGTACGTATAATAATACGTATAATTATACGTGTTTTTTTCAATAGGGCATTCAAAGGAGACGACCAAGCAAGACCGTGATCGCTTGGATCGATATCCGATAATAATTGAGGACAATTGCTGGACCATTTTCTGGGTGTGAAGTGACCTTTTCTTAAAAGAGCAATAAATTCGTCGCGAGATTCTTTCGCTTCTCGTTTTGAAGATCCACCGAACATCGCGTCATCTATGTAAATATTGTTCTTTAAGACATACGATGCTAATGGAAACGCCAAGCCTTCATCGATCACCAACTGCTTGAGGACTCGTAACGCCAGATAAGGCGGTGAACGTGTTCCATAAGTCACGGTGAGAAGTTGGTATTCGCTAATTGGTTGATCTGGCGACGAACGCCACAATATGCGCTGATAATCAACATCATCCAAATTTATTAAAATTTGACGGTACATGCGGGCAATATCGGCAGTATAAACGTATTTAAATACACGCCAATGAACCAAAACATTAAACAAATTCGTTTGAAGTTTTTGCCCTATTCTCATATGATCGTTTAAAGAGGTACCGTTGGTTGATGGGGCTGAAGCATTGAACACTGCTCGCATTTTTGTTGTTTGGCTAGCTTCCCTAAACACAGGTTGATGAGGAATGTATACCACCTGATTAGAAGGATTTTCGAGAGATTTAACTTTTCGCATGTCATGAAATGTTTTATATTTTTCCATAAAGTCACTATAAAGTTCTTTATGCACAGGATTTTTCTCGAGGCGAGTTTCGAGACGTTTTAAAGATTTTTCGGCAATTTTTTTCGTATAACCAATGTCAATAGGTTTGTCAGTTGTGAACGGATAATTGACACTATATTGACCATCGGGTGTTCGCGAATGAGTTTTTTGAAAGTGCTCTTCACAGAGTTCGTCTTCGATAGACACGATTTCTTTCGAATTTATTTCCTCGATTTCCCAAAATTTTTGTAAACACGAGTCGAGACTTTTATTTGAAATGCAGTGATGAATCTGAACGCTAGATTCATTTTGATTATTTAATGACGACAAAGATCCGGACAAAACCCACCCAAATATTGTATTTTGAGCAATTGGATCACCCGCTCTTCCTTTTTTTAATCCGTCCAAAATTATAGAACCATAAAGCTCGGCGCCAATGAGTAAGTGGATAGGATCATTGTTATAAGGATCGTCTGCTAGCTTTAATTTTTTCAAATGAGGCCATTGTTCAAAATTGACATTTGATTGAGATACATAAGACGTTATTTTTGGAATAACAATTGCTTGCGTGTTAAAAACAGGATCACCATTTGGACTTGATGAAATCCTTATCGTGACAGCAGAATTTGCATTTCCAGCGTGACTACCCCCTAGGCCAGACAGTGACGCAGAAATGGGTATAGTTTTGGAATTTAACATTTTTGTTAAGTCTTGAGAAGCAAAGGTCCATGTTGACCCTTGGTCTATCAATGCCCGAACACGAATAGCTCGCATTGAAGGAGATAAAACCCATACTCGTGCAGTAGCGAGTAAAACGTTATTTGATTTTGTTGCGCTTGGTGCGGAAAAATGAGACTGAATTTTAGACGATTTTATTACTTGAAACCCTGTACTACTTTGATTCGAATTGTCGTTCGATTCTTTTTCGTATTCTGTTTCGGACTTGGTTTCGCGGTGAAGTAAAGTGTGGTGTCGACTTTTACACTTTGTACATGTAAATTTACTCGGACAATCATTATTTTTATGCTGGGCTCGAAGACAATTTGTACAAATTCGATTTGCTTTAACATAAACATATTTTTCTGAAACAGATTTTTCATTAAATTTTTCACACTGATACAAGAAATGGTTACCTTTACACATAAAGCAAGAATTTTCTCGAGATGATGCTATATGAATATTTACATTAGCGCGATTTGATTTTGAGAAATTATCCTTTGAATGCGCAACGGGTTTGGAAGCTATACTATTATTTGTTGTGACAGCAGGCAATGCTTCTAATGCGCGAATTCTTTCGAGAAGAAATGTTTCTAAATCTGAATAAGCTGGACATTCAATTGACGATGATAATTTTAACTCCCAATCTCGTTGCGTCTTCGGATCTAACAAAGAAAGAACTCTATTAATCAAAATATCACTATAATTTTCAGTAGGACGATCTAGATTTTTTAAAGCAGCAACTCGCGTTTGCACAGTATTGTAAATATTTAATAATCCAGATGCAGATTCCTTTTTCAAAGGAGTTAACGCAAAGATTGCATTTATGTGCGAAGTTACCATAGCACTTTTATTGTTATACCTTTGAACCAACAAATTCCACGCAACACTAAAATTGTCGGAAGTTATTTGAATATTTTTTATTAAATCCAAAGCATCATCGCGTAACGAATTTTTTAAGTAATGTAATTTGGCAACATTTTTTATAGATTCATCATGAATTACAAGTAAATTAAAAGAATCTTTAAATGATTGCCATTCAGAATACTGACCTGAGAACACTGGCAATTCGATACGACGTAATTTAACAATAGAACCTGATTGTTGAACAGTTTTTTCAAAATTCAGATTCGGAGATGAAGCTGCCAAGGGTAGCGTTGGTGGTTGAATTTCAGCTAGAAGTTCTGCGCAGATATCCAAATTACTGTATAATTGTATCTCCTTTTCTCCAAATTCATCCTCTGCAAAGTATTTATTTTGCTTCTGCTCTAGATTGGCACAATGCGTCATTAAAGCGTGACGATCTCGGCAGGTTCTCCATAATGATTCGAGGAGAGTACATCTATTGCGAATTACTAGTGCAGATTTACGTTGCGGCTCTAAATCTTCAATATACTTGAAATGTCTCTCAATAGACTTAAAGTCTGTGTACTGAGTTGTTAATAGTTGCTCGAAATTAGGCTCCATGACTCGAGTATGAATTTCACTTAAAAGGTCACTCAATCGTGTATCATTAAATTCACTTTTGTCATCGGTTGACATATCATAATAAATTTAGATAGATTATTTATTTTCACATAAACGTCGCACACTTTGAATTATTTTATGGTTTTTTGTCTTGTTGACATAAGTGAGGTTAGGTTGTCCTGTATTTTTGACACTAGAGTTCGACAGGTTATTTTAAAGTTTTTATTTAGATCAAGAAGAACACTACTTTATCGATAAGTTTCACTTGTTGTAAAGAACATGGCGGATAATGAATCGACTTCACAATTGCAAGGATCAATATTGAATTTCATATTTTCCACAATAAAATGCTATGATCCTGGCAGGATCGCCAAATGTTTAGGGTTCTGTCAATATTTCATGTGCAAAGACAATTTCACATAACTTTTAATTGAATTTAGATTCTTGCCACGCCATGTGGCCACAGCAGCAATTTAATATTTTATGAAAACTGGATTTTTTATGACTGTCAATATAATAAATCTATTCACCATGAACACTTCAAATACAAACTTTTATTAAAACACTTATACATATTGAAACTTATCATTAGGAAAACTGTAATATTCCAATTTTTAGAGAGACCAATTTTTTGTTAACAGAATCATAGACATTTTTTATTTTCTCTGAAGAAAGAAAGGAAGCGCTTATTACGCCCTCTATATTTTAACTTAGTCATTTTTGTACCGCGTAATTTTAAATATATGAATATCAAACACAGTAAAATATGAACTTTATATAGGTTAATCGATTCGTTTTAATGCAAGAAATAAGTTTTTTTACCAAACAAAATTAAATTTACAAAGAAAAAAATAATTTAAAAAAAAATTTTCAGATTTTGAAAAAATTGTAAAAAATAAAATGTTGTGAATATATTCGGAAATCCTTGAGTCAGATTTTAGGTATTAATGATTACAATAAGCATATGAAATTTCAGGACAATCAGTTAAAACGTTTCTGAGGTAATTTGTACATAATATTTTGTGACATACACACACACACATACATCTGGACATTTGCTCAGGACTTATTCATATATATTAATTCTAGATGAAAATGAGTCCATATAACCCAATTTTAAAAAATCGAAAATCGTTACGAATGCAAAGCTTCCTCATGAGGAAGCAAAAATTATATATTTCTGAAACGAAGCAAAACACATACAAGTTTTGAAAAGAACTAAATTTTATCAATATTAAAATATCTGCTGAAACTTAAATTTTTGAAAAGCTCCAAAAAAATTACAAGCTTCAAAAAATTTATAAAGTAAAAAGAACTATTTTGTCATTTTTCAGTACAGAATCAAGAAATTTATACTTTTGGTAATTCTCAATATCAAATACTAAATACTAGATCTTTTAAAAATATGATGGCAACAGCTCTCAGACAAAAGTCAATAGATTTTTACAATAGAAATGCTAAATTTTTAACAAAATATTACTTTCAAACGCTATTAGAATTATTACAACTGGTTTTAAACTCAAATTTAAAATATTATTTGAAATAAATTTTGCTTTTCACATTTTTTGTTTAAAATATATATTAAACCTTCGTTTATCTGACGTTCGATCAACCGAGGCTTCGCATTATCCGAAGCACCGAGTTGTTCTTTTACGGAGTTTCTTAAATCTCCTTAATGACAAGTTACACATTATGTAACAATTCTTTTGTACACTGAAAATTAATTTATCTTCATTATATTTTCACTTTTACTTATTTTTGTGAATAAAGTTAATTCTAACATTTTAAATGCATAAACAATTTTTGTAATGTTTATTTCTTCTGTGTTATTTATGTTTTCGCTTTTTTGAAACGTTTTACCCATATTACTTCGGATAAACGAGGTTTATAATTGTTAATTACAAAAGTTGTTTTAAAAAACTATTTTTCAAGTTTTAAAAATTATTTAATTATGCCATTAAAAACCATTTAAAATGAATTAATGATTTTAATACTTTATTAAGGAGATATCAAACGTTACCTCGTCATTCAGTTTCATTGTGACGTAATCATATGAAGAGGTATTAACGAGTTGGTAAAAATGTACGATCGAGTTATGTTCAGGTAAATGTAATACAAAATATATTATTTTTATTCATTATTTGACATTACATAGATGGTGAACCACTTTTTTGAAAATTGATAAAATTCGTTTGAAACTTGTTACAAGAGGTGTTTTTAACATTTTGCCTGATGCAATTGAAATTTTTACAATTGTTTTTATTCATTTCCTTAAAATTTTATTGAAACCAAGTACCTAAATTGTATAAAATAGATTATGTTTGAAGGTACTTGTAACGAATTTAATTAACAAATATTTTAATAATTCTGGAAATTATATCTGTTGCCCCAAAACACTTCCTTTGTACTGAATGATCTGGTATTTTTAAGCATTGTTTAAAATTACAATAGCTCATTAATGAACGAAAGAATTTCAAATTAATCAAAAATTTATATTTTTTGTAAGATAACCAAATTTTAAGCACCTCAAAAGTCAGGCATTTTAAAAATAATATCAACATTTAAACAATAATTTTTACATTCTCATCATAATGAGATAGTATTACATTTGCCCGATTTTTTTTGTGTTAAACCCTTCGTTCACTAACAAGATACTATATAAACAAAGCCTAAAAGTTTGAGATCGATCTGTTCAGTGGTTTCAGAAAAATGTTTCTTACAGCAAGCGTCTAAGAAAAGAATGTTTTGGGGCAACGACCATTGTTTTCGCAAATATTAATATTTTTAGATGGATTTCGATTGATTAAAATTTCGCTGCTCCCTCCCATTAAATAATCGGTAACTTTATTTAAAAATTTTTTATCTTCTTTCACACGCCATTCAAAGGAACTTTATTTAAATTTCGAAATAAATAATCTCAAAATACAGGATAAAATTTTGTACATTTGGTCCTTAAAGGGTTAACATTTCTAAAGTGGCGCGAAAATTATTTAACCTTTAAACTGCGTGGGACTGTTTTCTAAAATTATTTCGTTCATTATTACTTTTTTCAAAGTACAATAGAACCTTGAGCTTTTCAGTAGCTTCATATTTTATAAAAATCTTTTAGGTGACAATTGTTTCAAAATTTAGAATTAATTAAATTTTGCAATATAAATAAAAAAATATCAAGTATAGAGGTCTGTAGGACCGGTGTTAGCCGCAAGTGTAAGTATATTGCACTAGTATAAATGCGCTAGGATTTGTCAGTCTTCATAACTTGCATTTATTGTTTTGACGTTTTCGTGATGATTTAAACATAATATAAATACTTTAATCATTTTTAAATTAAATAATCAAATAATAAATCATATTTATTCAGTTAATATTGACGGAGTTATTAACAATGTCACGTAAGCGTTCAAAAGTAAATTTTATGATTAATTATTATTCAAATAAAAGTAGAAAATTATTTCAAATAAAAAGTTTCCACAAAATGTTAATAAAATAAAACATGTTCTCCTTATTAAAACATGTTTATTTAATTTTGATTATTTCAATTTTAATACAGTCAATTGAAAATTTTTAGCCTAATTCTATACAGAATAAGAGCAATAAGGGTTCATTGAAAAAACCAAGTAAAATATTAGATAATTTACGTTTAAATTATTTAAATCCTATTATTATTATTATTGTTTCGCTTAAATGTTAACTCCCTAGTGGGAAAAAAACCATGTTTGTTCTAAAAACGTTTTTAGAACGTTTTATGTCCGACAAATAATGTTATAAATCATTTTAAGAACATGGATGTTCAAATAGTGATCTAAAAAATTTTTTGAATGACATGAAACGTTCTAAAAACGTTTTTTTTATTTTTCCATCGTGCAGTTTAAAGGTTAATGTTTTACTTAATTGAAATGAATGATTGTACTTTTAAAAAGAAATATTTGTAATAAATTACATGTAATAATGAAGTTATTAATTTATTATTTAATTATTAATGAATCAAATAGAGATACTAACCAACAATTTTATATTTAGGAAAAAGAAGAAGGAGAAACAGAAGAAGAAACTTGTAGAAGTTACAAAAATAATAGATGATGAACGACTGGAAGAAAATGTTACGGCTCCAAAACATACAAAGGCAGAATTAGCATTCAAAAAAATGCAAGAAAAAATGGTAAATAATATTTTTAAACAAACAAGTTCAATTAAATTCTAAATTGACATTTTTGATTGTATGCTTTATTAATTATTGCTTGTGTATTTTTTAGCAAACAGAAAGAATAAAGCAAAAAGCATCTTTAACACACAAGCAAAGAGTCGAAGAGTTTAATCGACATTTGGATGGTTTAACCGAACATTTCGATATTCCTAAAGTCAGTTGGACGAAATAAAAAAAGTATTATTTATATGAAATCATCATCACTTATTGTCAACCTATTCTGTTGGCAGAAAAATATAATTATTCATTGAATACTTTCTACGTCTTAAAATGTCTATTTATTTACTATAAATAATATTATATTACACGAAAAAATGTATCCTTAATCTCTCATTTATTAATATGTTCTTCTATATCACAAAGTAAAACTATTAGAATAATTGGAAAAAATATTATAAGTTAAATCAGTCCAATTTAGTTACCCTAAAATGTCTTTCTATTTATTGTTTATTAACATTATACAGAACATGTATCAATAAACATGATTTTTAAGTCCTTGAAAATCTTTGAAATTCCTTGAATTTTATAACAAAATCTTGAATTATTAATGATAGCAGGAATTGGTAATATTGTTTTCAATTAAATAAATAAAAATATTTATAAATAAACAAATATTTATAAATATCAATCATACAAACAAACAATCATGTAATCGAATAGTAAATTTTATATCTTGCGTTCAAATAGTAATGTTTTAAATGATATAATCACATAATAATGATTTAATTAAATGTATGAACCAATGAAATAGATAATGTAATTATAGAGATGTTATGATTCTAAAATTTGGTAGTTGAGAAATACAGTTTCAAATAGAAGAACCACATGTGTGAGCAACTACTACTAAGAAGAGGGTCACCAATACTTTTTACATCGGTGAGGTCCCGTCTTAGAAAAAATCTGCCCAGGCTACTCACAAAAATCTTTCTATATAAAAGGAAACCTTTCCTATTAACACCAATTAAAAAGTCAGTCACAAGTACCAGTTAAAAGACAAGTTACGAGCCCAGCAAATGAAAACTAATTCAGTTGAATTGAAATGAATACACCCTGGGCTTCAGTGAATCCCGCTTAGCGATAAATTAGAATTGGAGCTAAGTTGCAAAATGTTCATGAAATGAACATAAAGGACCGCCTACTTATTTTAATTATTTTCCAAAATATCATTTGAAAAAATTTCTTATTAAACTAATTATTAAACAGCATTTGTAGGTCATTGAATTATTATTTAACAGAAATTTTATTTTAAATCCTCTTTATACCCAACTGTTTATTCAAAATTATTATAATTTAATCCAATTTTAATTTGCCAGTTTTTTATTTGATGAATCGTTATTTGATAGAATTCTTTTTATGTTGAACATAACATAATACAATAGAAATCTATTGTTTTCTTATGTGATGTTCAACATAAGAACAAAAAAATCTTATTAGTAGCACTAAAAAGCAGAATTTTTATTTAATCAGAATTGAAAATGTCCGAACAAACAACCAACAGAAAGATTTCGGGCGAATTTAAAAATTGACCAATCATAATTTTCTTTATAAATTCTGATTGGTTAATTTTTTTAAATTCGCGCGAAATCTTTTTGTCCGCTATTTGTTCCATCATTTGAAATTTTTATTAAATGAAAAATCTGTGTTTTAGAAATTCTATCACTGTCGTCAAACAAAATTCTTTGAAATAAAGATTCGGTAAATTAAAATTTCTATTGCTTTTACATAATTCTTTAAAATGAAAATTAAAACTAATTTAATTTAAGGAATATTTATGCTCCCCGTAAATGTAGCTCTTTATAAAATTCTGTCCCAGATAGCACAACAATTTGTCACAATTTTGCAGCAAGTTGGCAATGCTAAATTGCAAGTTTGCATTGCCAACTTGCTGCAAAACTGTGTCAAATATCGATATGTCCACCCTTTTTAAACATTGCAGTGCAAACTTGCTGCAAAATTGCTGCAAAAAAGCTGAATGAGTTTTCTGCAGAATTTCAAAAACAATTTGCTGAAAAATGAACATGTTCTAACAACGTTCTTAAAACGTTTTTAGAAGGAACATGGTTTTTTGCCCACAGGGTAGATTGGTTGCTTGGATGATTGATTTATAGATTGGTTGATTGAGTGATTGATTGGTGGATTGATTGGTTGATTGATTGAGTGATTGGTGGATTGATTGGATGATTGATTTATGGATTGGTTAATTGATTGATCAATGATTGATTGGATCCGCCATTTTGAAAATTTTAAATTTGTCTTCAAATTCGTATTCAGTGACCTCAAAAACCCCCGAGTAGCGAGATTCAAGCAAATTTGATCAATTTTTAACAATATTTTTATGTTTGTCCGCCATTTTTGATCCGCAATTTTGAAATTTAAAAATTCGATTTTAGAATATTATTCTAAAAACTTATTTTCACCAAGTTGAATGAAAATCTATTAAAATTTATTAAAGTTATTCAAGTTTTTACATTACTAGTTTTGTTATGGTAATGATTGCTTATTTTATATGTTGCATATCAATCAATTGGTTCAATTATTTTACATCTACCAAGAATTTTTTTTCAGTTTTTACATCCTTTTACACAGTAGTATACTTAGGATAACTTTTTTCTTTAACCTCTTTAAACTACAGGGGTGTTTACATTTACCCCGAATTTTGGGAAAATTTTAAATTCTCGGGGTAAATGTAAACAGTCAGTTTTAAGCGATTCAAGTTGATCAATATTTTTTTGTACCTCATAAAATGTTTCTAGGGAAGTGAAGTAACAAGTTCATGCAGTAGAAAACCGGAAGTATTGCTTTTTAAAGTAAAAAACTTACGTTATTGTCGAAACTAAGCAAATCCGTTTACATTTACCCCAAATGACCCTAACGCTTTAAAAATTTATTTTTTTTAAATTTAAATTTAAGTTATATTACATAAAATTAAACAATAAACAGATTATAATTCCCTAGGAGCTATGTGTTTCGTTTAATATTTATAATATAATTTAAACTTAAAATTTAAAAAAAAGTAAACTTTTTATTAAAATTTTATGAAAAGTGTATTAGAATTTAAAACGCAAATTATATTAAAATTTAAAAATAAATTTTTAAAGCGTTATTTATAAAAAAAATTGTTTTCTTTTTACTTCCTTCTTTTCGTACGATTTAATTATTTTTATGGTACAGAAATTTAAAAAAATAACTTTCAAGGAAACTTAAAAATTTTATTTTCCAAAAAATTGCATTTTCAAATTTCAGAAAATTTTCCGTATCATTTTTCAGCAAATTGTTTTTGAAATTCTGCGAGAAACTCATTCAACTTTTTTGCAGCAAGTTTGCACTGCAAAGTTTAAAAAGGGTGGACATATTGATATTTGCCAGTTTTACAGCAAGTTGGCAATGCAAACTGTTACGAGCGGAGTTACGTAAATAACGCGCAAGCGTTAATTCCGCTCTTTTGTTGACGCTTATTGGTTGGGTTTTCCTCAGTGTTAATCCTTGAAAGGAAGCGGGAATATTTAAATAAACAGTAATTAATAATTATTAATTAATAATTAATTAATTAATAATTAATTATTAATTAATAACAGTAAATTCCGTAAAACGGAGTGGGAAATCCTCTTAAAGAAAGACAATTAATCAATGATTAATAAATTAATCAATTATTAATCGTTCTAACTTCTAGATTAAAACCACGTAAGTTTATTGAAAAGTTCAGAGATACATCGACCATTAGGGACGGAGGCGAGAGAAGATCTGCCTTCGGAGTGAGGTTAGAGCGGAGACACAGCTCTCGCTACGAGTCCAAAGAAATCACCATTGCGCATGCTCTGGTATATAGTCTGCTCTATGCTGTATCCAGCATCACTGCACTGTATTTATACATTTTCACTGTATTAATCTAGTTCCATATGTTAGAGAACACAAAATTTAATAGCGTAATACGCAAGCGTGATTTTGGAATGATAATGATGTCTATGCGAATATGAGCGTAACAAGCAGTGTCGATCTGGATCTACGTGCGAACAGTGAAAGATCTAAGGCTGCAGTCCCATGGCAGCGTTTTGCGTTGCGTTTTGTCACTAGACCCTGAGTGTGAACATAGCAAACATATATCTGCATCTCTTTTACACTCATGGTCTAGTGACAAAACGCAACGCAAAACGCTGCCATGGGACTGCAGCCTAAAGTATGAGCGATTTATTTGGTGCGTTATAAAATTTGCTATAAGTTATGTTAACTCCTTTACTTAAAATTTACATTTAATAAATTACTTTATATTTCTCTTGAACAATAATTCGGAGTTTTATTTTTTACAATTCTAAATAAAGTTCCTTATGTTGAATAAATAAATTTTATCCTAACACATATATACTTATTTCGCACGTTATACAATAAGATTATAAATTAACTATATAAACACAAATCAATAAATAAGTAAATAAATATATGCATACATATACACATATATATATATATATATATATACACATACACATATACATACATACACGCAACCATATACATAAAACGTTGATTTAGAGATGATGATAATAACTTTTTGCATTAATTAAATTAGGATTTGAATTATAATATAAAAGAATTGTCGTCGCGAACATGAAGTTCTTTGTTTGCCTAGTCTGAGGCTTTTCTATATTTTATGAACCGAGTTGCGTCTGGTCAACACGTGTTTAGTGTCCTATAGAAAAAGGAATTAACAACCTTTTCAAGTGGATTTTTATGATCTTTTTGAGGTTTATATTTCAACTTGAAAGCAAGGGAAACTTGGGATCGTATTTCCTATTGCCATTTTACCAAAATGTTTATTTTGTACATTTTGGGAACAAGAGTTTGAAAGGAATTAAAGCGTGACGGAATTATTTAAAATTAGTCATGCTTTTTACGAATATCTGAATAGTTTCATTTTAAGAAGAATAAAATATTAAGAGACAGTTAAATTAATTCTTAACAAATTTTAATATTAAAATTTAGCGCTTTGATATATCGTAATTCGAGATATCGAAAGTAAAGTCGAGCGAGAATACAGTCGCTCGTTACAAAACTTGCAATTTGGCACTGCCAACTTGCTGTAAAATTGTGACAAATTGTTGTGCTATCTGGGGTTCTACAAAAATTTCGACAGATCTAATGTGGGGAATATTCTTGTTTCCCTTTTCGATGAGTGAGACACTGCACGACATCGAACTTAATGCGCGGCTCTGTCCCATCCCTGCGAGGAAGTTTACTTTCTACACCGTATATATAAACCACAGTTCATGTTTTGTTTTGACATTTACAAAAAATTCTTACACAGATTTTTAATAATGTCCAATTTATTACACATTGATGGTAGTTTAGGTGAAGGAGTAAGTAATTTTTTAATTTTTGTAATTTAATAGAGATGGTTTTAAAAATTAATCTTGTGTTTGTATAGAAAACTTATAAATTTAAATTTAGGTTATTTCTTCTAAAAATTATTTATTCGTAAGCAAAGTATACGAGTGTAATAAATATTTCACCTGAATTAAAGGCGAAATAATAAGGTATAATAATATAGCCTAATTAATTTGCTGTTTAGAAAAAAGTTTTTTTTCTATAAGAGAAGTCGGTTAAATTAAAATTAGACAAAACTATACATTTCACAATTCGGATCTTCTATAAAAGATTCGAATTGTGAAATTTCAGCTCCGTGAAGTTGGCACTGCCAATATAAGGAAAATAGATTTTGTTGTATGGAATCGTTTGGTGGTCGTTTGGTGGTGTTTGGTATCCAAGTTTGGAGGTTTGGTAGTCAAAATTAAGAAAGTTACAACGATTATAAATTTTCAGTGCTAACTTCACGGCTGCACTGCACATTTATATATTTTTCGAAAATTCCTTTTGACATCGTTTGGTGGTCGTTTGGTGGTGTTTGGTAGTCAACTTTTGAGGTTTGGTAGTTGAAATTATAAGAGATAATCAATTTCTAAACATTTTTTCTTGGATGCGCATAAGGGTGCGCATAGCCGTATGGCGCAAAGATTCAAATTTTAATTTACTACTTTTACATTTTTTCCTACAATTTCGGGTGCATGATTTCTCCCCAAAGCCCAAAACATCGAATATCCAAAACCGCGAAAACTTAAATTATCGAATGTTTACTTAATCGAAAAACTAAAATTTCGAATATTTATTTAATCGAAACGCCAAAAGTTCGAATATTTGTTTATTAACGTTAATAATAAATAAATAAATATAATGTTTATTAACGAAAATCTAAACAGTCGATTGTTTAATTAATCGAAAACGTAAAAGTTCGAATGTTTATGTAATCGAAAAACTAAAAGTTCGAATGTTTATTTAGTCGAAAAACTGAAAGTTAGAATGTTTATTTAATCGAAAACCTGAAAGTTCGAATGTTTATTTAACGAAAAACTAAAAGTTCGAATTCTTATTTAATCGAATAACTAAAAACTCGAATGTTTATTTAATCGAGAAAGTAAAAGTTCGAATAGTTATTTAATCGAAACCTAAAAGTTCGAATAGTTGTTTAATCGAAAACCCAAAAGTTCGAATGTTTATTTAATCGAAATACTAAATATTAGAATTTCTATTTCATCGAATCCCCAACTGTAAGAATACTCAAAAGATAGAATTTTCAAGAATTTTTCTTAAAAATTATTAAAAATAATTTATATTGAGAAGAATTTTAGTTAAAAATTCTAGAAAACAATTGAATTGAAATGTTGAAAATAATTTTATAGAAGTATAAGATTAATGAAAAACTATTAATGTTTCAGATAATTTCACAAGTCAAGATATTCGAAAATAAATGTACTGCATAAATTTTTTTGTTTAAATAATCATTTTTAGTATTCTTAATTAAAAATCTGCCTGCAAATTTGGGAAAGGTCAGGTAAAAATAAAATCAAATTTTTGTAGCAACCCTGATTAAATTATATTTTAAATTTGCAACTAATGACTTGAAAAATTTCTTTTCCAAAAACTTAAATAAAATACTTAAAATAATTAATTACTAATTTCTATAAAATTGTAATTATGCACCCGATTTTAATTCTCATTAGAAAAAAACTAATTTTGAAAATGTTTTGAAATTTGGCGCTAAAGTAAAAAACCCTATAAACTTGTCCAATTGGAACAATTCAAACAACATAGAAAGTGAAGTTACATGCCAAGAAAAATTCTATCTTTTGAGCATTTTTACAGTTGGGATTCGATGAAATAGAAATTCTAATATTTAGTATTTCGATTAAATAATCATTCTAACTTTTAGTTTTCCGATTGAATAAACATTCGAATCTTTAGTTATTCGATTAAATAAACATTCGAACTTTTAGGTTTTCGATTAAATAACTATTCGAACTTTTAGGTTTCGATTAAATAACTATTCGAACTTTTACTTTCTCGATTAAATAAACATTCGAGTTTTTAGTTATTCGATTAAATAAAAATTCGAACTTTTAGTTTTTCGTTAAATAAACATTCGAACTTTCAGGTTTTCGATTAAATAAACATTCTAACTTTCAGTTTTTCGACTAAATAAACATTCGAACTTTTAGTTTTTCGATTAAATAAACATTCGAAGTTTTACGTTTTCGATTAATTAAACAATCGACTGTTTAGATTTTTGTTAATAAACATTAGAACTTTTGTTTTTTCGATCAAATAAATATTCGAACTTTTGGCGTTTCGATTAAATAAATATTCGAAATTTTAGTTTTTCGATTAAATAAACATTCGATAATTTAAGTTTTCGCGGTTTTGGCTATTCAACTTTTTGGTATTCGATTCATTAGATATTCGATGTTTTGGGTTTTGGGGAGAAATCATGCACCCGTACAATTTAACTTTTAAAATTATGTAGTGGACAGTATGTTATAAGATTTTTTGCAAATTGTATGTAGATATGATAAGAGATTGTGAAATTAAGAAAATAATAAAACATTAAATTAAATGTAAGATATTTCATTTGCTTGCTTTTGAGCTGTGACCGCACCCTAAGTCAAATCGACAAAACGTCGAAACATGAAAATGGTGCCCTAAATTACTTGAGGAACATTACGTCCCAGTCCTGGGCTTTTCATGGCAGAAATTGTGTTCGTAATTGGCCAACCCTGTATGTGACTATGTGGTTACACCTTAATAGATCACTTTTTCGGGAATCCCTTTTGCTATCAAAAGACGCTAAATTATTGTTATTGTTGATTGATGCTATTTATTGTAATTGATTATTGTTATTCATTGTTTATATTCACTGCTTTGACACATCGAAGACTTAGTTGGCCTCCCATTTTTGGCCTATTGTGGCTTATAAAGTAAGTATATAGCATTTATACTTTTGACTTTAATTTATTAATATTATACATAGCAGATATGAGATAATTTCAAAGCGTTGAAATTCCAGTGATACTGTAAATATAACTTTATGAACTACTGTTTATATATATATTCCTCTTCATGTCCACGAACCTATATATGTGACGTTCCTTGATGAAAGGGACCTTAGCTGTTTTTAACAAAACTAAAATTTGCAGTAAAAATAAATAATAGTCACTAGTTTTCGGTACAAACTATTAATATTTAATTCTTTATTATATGCGCAATATTTTCAGTAAAAAGTACTTTTGATGTTAAATAATAAAAAGTAGATTCTTAATATAGTGAAAACTACCAAAACATAACCTAAAATTTTAAGAAGCTAAGGTCCCTTTCACCGTGGAACGCACATATGCTCTTATGCTTTTTGATCATGTACGTGAAACTATGATCATGTTAATAATTTGAATGATTTTAAGAACTAATGCATTTTTCGATTTTATTTCCAAAACTCTAAAATAGTTTTAATTCTAGTTTCGGAAAGAGAATTGAAAGTAAACACAGAGGTTAACATTATATTTGATCTATCAAAGAAGCAAGAACTTTGACAATTAAACATTTTAATATTATTTAATTAGTTTATTAAGACTAATATTTACAAATTTGCAATTTTATCTATTGGAATTTGTCAAAAGGTATTCCTAATGCTATGTAGAATACCGTTTAGTAGAATTTTGACTAAGATAAATTTTTAGCAATGATTACTCTCCGTTTTATTAATTTCTATTATTTGTACGATTTCTTTTTTTTAATGAATAGTCATTTAATAAAATGCTAATAATGACAAAAAGTTTCTGTTAAATGTTCTTTTAAAAAATGAAAGTTCAATCAAGTGAATTTTCGATCTATTTATTTAAATCACAAAGAAATAACGTTTGGTCAAATAACAATTTACTTTCAACTTTTCAAAATCTCCTTCTTTGAAATAAAAGTTAAGTAAAATAGAAATAAATAGAAATTCATTTTAAATGTAAATTTAATTAAATATAAGCATTGTAGGAAATGAATATTTAAATAAATAGAACAATAGAAAATAGATTTAAATAAATTTAGTTAAATAGAAAATTGATGTTCTTAATTTTGAAATATTGTCAATTAAAATTTATTATTTTTGAGGAATATATGAAAATATCTCTTTATTCTTTATATTATAAATAATATTGTACATTTTAAATTATAGATGCCACGAGCAGCAAAAGTCTCAGTCGAAGAGGCTCTGACTGCCATTTGTGAACTCAGTGAAGATTTAAAAGATGGTTCGTTGCCTCCATATACACATGAGTTTTATCAAAAAGTAAGTCAGTTATTAAACCGAAATTGGAGTGCTCATAACGTATATACAAATCTACGAGAAAATAGAAGAAGTTTAAAGACTGAGGTCTTTAAGAAGCTAGGAATAAAAGAACCTTCGAAGACATCATCAAATGTTGAATGTGAAAGTCAAGAACTTATTAATTTTTACTCTGATGACGATGATGACGATGATGACGCAGATGATGGTGTAGACAGTGATGAAATAAATAATTCTTTTAGTGAATTATTTAAAACAAAAGACAGTGAAATATTTAATATGTGCCTAATAAATGAACTTTGGGAAAAAATGAAGCCAGTCTGCAAAATTTATAATGGAAAGGAATTTTTAGTACTTACACCAGGTGTATGGACGGACATTGTTGCCGACGAATTTTGGAAAGAATTCAGAATTCCTTGCGCTTTCACTTTTCGTTACTGCAAAGTATCAGAGAACCCAGAAAAAATTTACGTGAAAATTCAAGGCCGCTGCAAAAGTAAAGAATGCAATAACGAATTTCTTGGTTTCATTGAAGAAAAACCAATTCCTGGAAGCGACGTTTGGATGAAAGTGAATTGCAAAGATACACGACAAAATTCTCACGAAGAAATGAAAAGGCAGTTGCGAAACAAAAAACGCCAGGACATCGGAAAAGAAGTCATCACAGAAGGAGCCTCAAATTACAGGAGAAAGTTAGCT